GTTGTCTCAATTATACCACCTGTGAATGGTAACAGCTTGATATCTCCCTTTCCAAATGTTATCACTTTTATTTCTTTATCTCGCATTAGCTAGGATCCGTAGGACCATACTGAACCGAAGTTAGGATAGTAGCCATCCTTGTCTTGTTGCTGATTTCAAAGGGAAAATTGCTGCCACAGTTTTGAGCAGGAAAGTGACATGACAGTGAGATTGGGGAGAGGGCTCTGGCAATAGGGGGCATGGTGGATCAGAGAGGATCACAGCAGGAAGTGGGGCATTAGAGAGTAGTTAGTGCTCTTCTGTGTGGACTTAGATATGTTCCTTCCCTCTCTGAGCTCAGGCCTCTGAGAGACAATACCAATCTGATAGGTGGGGAGTTTGGAAACTAGCCATGGAGCTGGGGGTTGTAGAGATGTGGTAGGGGGTGAGGCCTCCACCAAGGCAGGCCTGGCCTGAGTTTCTCTGCCTCTTTTTCCTAGGCCCATCTGTACACCAACCGTGCCCACAGGGGTCCTCAGACTGCAGGAAACAGTGTGAGCCTGACTACTACCTGGACAAGGCTGGCCGCTGCACCGCTTGTGTGAGCTGCTTGCGAGGTAAGGGCCTAGTCCTCCTGAAGGGGCTCCTTCTAGGGGTGGGGTTGGCTCAGAGGAGTTGCAGAGTCTTGGTCTTGGGGCTGCTTAGCCTTCTAGAGCTTCAGCTCACCTCTCTTACGTTTTTTGTTTTTTTTCTTTAAATGTTATTTGTTGTTGAGAATACGCGCAGCAAAACATACACCAATTCAATTCCACATGTACACTTTAGTGACATTGATTACGTTCTTGGAGTTGTGTAACAATTCTCATCCTCCTTTTCTGAGTCGTTCCTCCCTCATTAACATAAATTCACTGCCCCCTAAGGTTCCTGTCTTATCTTTCGCGTTGCTGTTGTCAATATGATCCCATATAGATAGTTACTAAAAGAGCACAGTGCTCAGGGCAGACCTTCCTTACTAGTTAAGCTAAATTATTGTTCAGTTTTAAGAAGACTTCAGGGGGTGTTTTTGGTATAAGGTTTAAAGATTATATCAGGGCAGTAGTTTCAGGAGTTCATTCACCCTCCATGGCTCCAGAAAGTCTAGAGGTCATGAGAATTTGACATTCTGTTCTGCATTTTCTTCCTTTTGATCAGGATTCTTCTATGGAATCTTTGATCAGTGCTGCAATGAACACTGGTGTACAAGTTCTTTTTTGAGTCTCTGCTTTCAGGTGTTTTGGGTATATACCTACGAGTGGAATTGCTGGGTCATATGGTAGCTCTAATTTTAGTTTTTTAAGGAACTGCCACACTATTTTCCAAAGCAGCTGTACCATTTTGCATTGCCAGCAGCAGTGGGTAAGGGTTCCAGTTGCCCCACATCCTTGCCAACATTTGTTATCGTCTGTGTTTTTTTATTTTTAATCTTAGTCATTGCAGTCGGAGTGTAATGGTATCTCATTGTGGTTTTGATTTTTATCTCTCTGATGGCTAATACAGTGAGCATCTTTTTATGTGTTTGGTGGCTCTTTGAATACCTCTTTGGTGAAATGCCTATTCAAGCCCTTTCCCCATTTTATGATTAGGTTATTTGTGTTTTTGTTGTTGTTGAAGTTATATGTATATATTGGTTATTAGATTCTTGTTGGCTATATGGTTTCTTAAGATATTCTCCTAGTCAATAGCTTATCTTTTCATTTTTTTGGTTAACTCTTTTGAGGAACAGAAATTTTTAGTTTTTATAGATCTCATTTATTTATTTTTTGTTTGCTGTCTCTGCTTTTGTTATTATAGTAGATTATCCATCGTTGAAAGCTGGACTTGACAGTGCTGCTCCTGTTTGTTCTTCTAAGAATTTTATGGTTTTAGTTTGTACATTTATGACCTTAATCCATTTTGGATTTGTTTTTGTGTATGTGAGACAAGGATCCTGTTTCATTTTTCTACATGTGGAAATCCAATTTTCCCAACACCATTTAGTAAAGAAACTCTTCTTTCCCCACTGAATGAACTTAGTACCCTTGCCAAAACTCAATTGGCAATAGATGTGTGGATTTATTTCTGGGCTCTCAATTCTAGTCCATTGGTTTATGTGTCTATTGTTATACTAGTACCAACCTGTTTTGATTACTGTAGCTGTGTAGTATGTTGCAAAATCGGGAAGTATGAGTCTTCCTACTTTGTTTTTCTCTTTCAGCATTGTTTTAGCTAGTCAAGGCTTGTTATCTTTCCATAAGTTGAGGACTGGTTTTTCTATTTCTGTAAAGAAGGCTGTTAGGATTTTGTTTGGGGTTGTGTTGAATATATAGATTGCTTTGGGTAGTATTGCCATCTTAACAATATTAAGTCTTCCAATCTATGAACATGGGACATCTTACTATTTATTTAAGTCTTCTTTAATTTCTTTCACCTGTGTTTTATAGTTTTTATTGTATGAGTCCTTCACATCCGTGGTTGGATTTATTCTTAGGTATTGTATTCTCTTAGATGCTATTGTAAATGGAATTATTTCCCTTTCAGGTTTCTCATTGCTGGTGTATTGAAACCTGACTGAATTTTGTTTGTTGATCTTGTAACCTGCAACTTCGCTAATTTCCTCTATTAGCTCTG